ATCTGTTAACGTGAGAATTTAATAAGCAATCAAAACAATAGGATCAGTCCATAATAGAAAAATACCTATTAGAAGCTCCTTGCCATTGGGTTTGGTTTCACCAAACATCCAAGCAAATGAGACTGCCATAGTAGCAATAAGAATGGCAAAAACAGCTTCTAACTTCCGAACACCGTAATTCTCAAGGAACAAGAACACAAAGCTGCCAGAAAGAAAGACATAAGATTACTATCGCAAAAGTAAACAAGCAATATTTAAATAAATAACTATAAAATTCATACATAAGACTCCAGTACTCTTTTAAGTTTGTATTTAGCATGCTTTCACTTCCCAAAAAAAACCAATAGCAGATAGACATAACATATTTATTGCTTTCTTTTCTTTACAAAGGTATCCCTTGCTTATTGCAAGGACAATAACAACAACAAAGAAAATCTAGATCTCAATTAATTCTAAACATAAGGGTTAAGAGATTGTCTCATGAAGCTCACTTGCGCGATTTTAATGGTTCAGTGCCTAGAGACACACCTCATATCAGGTTTCATATAGTGAGTGAGAAACAAAAGCCCAACCCCACAAGAAAATTGAAATAACTAAAATGCTATAAAAGCAATTACCCTTCTGCAAAAATGATCAGTTTTTATGTGCCTCAATAGTAAATCATTGTGACTAAGAAGTCATGAACTAACCCAGAACCAGCATATAAGAAGAAAGCGATGGTAATCATAAAAATGCAACCTAACTCATATATACAAATTAATTCTCTCATGCTCTTAAACTTCAACCACTTCAAATCCCCCAACCTTCCTTCCCAGAATCCACTAATAAGTGCATAAATCAAGCTAATTCAGCTGAAACTTCCGTCGCGTATCCACAGCTCTCAAAAATCAGCTAAACCATTTTTTAATCACATTTTTCATAAAAAGAAACAAACTTTGCTAAACAATGCCAGCTCCAGAAATAAAATTCAACCAAAATTCCCCCAAAAACAACAAAAACAAAAGAACCCCAAACCGTAATTCAGCTAAATTCAGCTAAAAATCACAAAAAAAACACACAATTTTGTAAATAAAAAAAACTCGGCCAAATTCAAGAATCCCAATTCCCGAAACTAATCAAAAGCCATCACCACAAACAATAATAATAAAAAAACTCACCAGTCTAATGCAGTAACAACAACTCCACCCCAGAGCGGCACAACTCCCCCGCTCAGAATCTTGATCGCAATCGCACTCCCAATAACCTCCTGTATATCCGCCCCAATCAACGCCACCTCCGCCATCACCCAAAGCACGAGCCTCGCCCAATTCGCGCCCCCGCCTGCAGATCTCCCTCCAGATTCCCCGGATCGAGGAACGCGATGCTCATCAGGAACCCTGGCCCCGTGAAAAGCCACAGCTTCTTCCATGAGAACGGCGGATCTGAGCCCTCGGACTCGGAGTCGGACTCCTCGATGGTGATCTTCTCGCAGGCCTCGTACGCGCGCTCCTCCTCCTCCTCCTCCTCCTCCTCCTCGGTGCTGTCGGGTTCCGGTTTGAGGAGGATTGTGGACTCGGATTCGGATTCGGGCTGCATTGGGATCGGAGAGAAGGGGAGAGAGGAGGAAAACGGGGATTTTTTGGTGGTGCCGTTGGTCTCATTGGAGGAGACTGTGATTTGGAACGGCGTCATAATTCTCATCTTCGCACAGTGAAGCGCGTTTGTTTGTTGAGGGTACGAGGGGGTTTTTACAGATAAGCGCCCTACAAATTCACTTTATTGCAATTATGAATCCAACTAGGGGTAGGAATGCAAAAGTTAGATACATGCAGCGATATCTTCCGTGGTATTTGGGAGAAAACTATATGCTCTATTTATAGAGGTCACAAAAACTGAGGATACCGGAATTGGAATTAAATATTGATCCTACTCTTAACAGTCGACGTATTATTTTTTGGCTGTTAGCTTATTGGGACTAGTACAAAAATGATGATGATTCCAACCTCCAAAGTAGAGACTAATGCTACAACTAAATGGATTCTTTTATTGATCAATGGCAAACAATGAACTCATTTTGCCGGTTAACGAATGTTTTCTTAAAATGGTTTTTGTCTATCAATATGTGGAAAGCTTGATTTAATTACAATTTTTGCTTAGGTTCATCTTTATGTCTTTTTTTATTTATTTACGGAAACCATCATCTTTATTATATCCTTGGGAACTTACAGGTGTGCCTAAAACAAGCAATTGTAACTAAATTGGATGAGGGTGTGATAAACTTGTTACATTTCAGACGATTTGCGAGAAAGTAAATTTATATAAATAAAAAAGAACCTCCTTTTCGAGGTATATTTCTTTAAAGCAAACAAAATTCTGAAGTTATACACCACAAAATAAAGTAACTAATAAATTTATTAGTCCTTTAATTGATTCTTTTTTATTTAGCAAGCCAAATTAGCAACTAGCTCTCAGTTACTGTTTGTGTAGAGAGTGGATAAGGTGTCTAACATTGTCAGAGTGTACTGTTTTTGTTCTATGAAAGCAATTATAAAGTTTCTAGAGACTAACATAGAAAAAATATTATCTCGAAAACACATTTCCATAAGAACCCCTCTTGATTTTGCTAGAGAGGATGCGTATTGATGATAGTATGTCTTCTTTATTGCACCGGAGAATATGACCTTAAAAGAAAAGGAAAATGCTTACGCACTGAAGAAATGGCGAGCACAGTGACGAAGACCGCAGGAAATGATGAAAGAACAAGTTTAGGTGTTGTGCGGTCGACCGCGTATGGCGCGGCGGTCGACCGCCAACGTGCACAAGGCTGAGTTCTAATCTGTATCAGGTCACAGTCGACCTCGTGTGGCGCGGCGGTCGACCGTCAAAAATCCAGAGACTCTGGAAAGTTTTTGTCGTTTTCGCGGTCGATCGTGCGTGGTTCTGCGGTCGACCGCGAGTCGGGTCTGCAGTTGAGTTTGGTTTTCTGACCCGTTTCGTTCTGAGTTGATATATAATCTTAATCCTAATTAATTAGGGTCAAACAAGGACGTTTTGAGCAGTCTTTGAGAGGGGGATTGCTGTATCCAATTGTGGAAGAGTTGTGAGAGATCTAGAGGCTTTGTTTTAGGGTTAATTTGGTGAGATTTATAACCCTATTTGTATTCTCTTGATTTCTAATAGTGAGAACTCCCCGCTCCTTGCCCCGTGGACGTAGGCAACTTGCTGAACCACGAAAAATTCGTTTGTCTTGCTGTGGTATTGTGTTTAGCTTATTAGTTGTGATTTATCTCGCTCTTATTCGTGTGGTTTCGAGCTTCTGCCGTGCACAACAAGTGGTATCAGAGCTTCAGGTTTGGCTTGGGCTTGTTTGAAGGAGTCGCTGAAGGATTCCTATTTGAAGAGTTAGATCAACAACATGGGAGAAGCAAGCACATCAGGTTCGTCTCTTACGTAGGCAATACAGAGTCTAAGCATCAATAATATGAAGATTGATGTTTTGAAATTCGACAGCAATATCAATTTTAGTTTGGTGATGGATGCATTGGATACACAGAATTTGGAGGAGACTCTTGAGTTACAAGAGAAACCTGCTGACATGGAGGACAGGGTTTGGAAAAAAATAAATAGTAGTGCTTGTGGAGTTATTCGGTCATGCTTAACGCCGGATCTTATTTATGATGTGATGAATGAGACGTCAGCGAAGAGAATGTGGGAAACACTCATAGAAAAGTATCTTACGAAGAGAATTGAGAATCGGCTTCACTTGAAGAAGAGGTTTTACCAGTTCAAGATAAAGAGGGGAGTTTCCATTAGGGAACATATTAATAATTTCACAAAGCTACTTTCAGATATGGTCAATGTGGACATCATGGTTGAGGATGAAGACAAGGTGATGCTACTTTTGTGTTCGTTATCGGAGGATGACTATAGTACGTTCATTCTCACTATGATCAATGGAAAAACTACTGTTAGCTACAAGGAGGTGACCTTAGTATTGGTGAATTATGAGTTGAGGAAGAGTGATGTTGAACCATCTGAGAAGGCATCGGGAGATGCATTAGCAGTTCGAGGCCGTAGTCCAAACCGTGGCCAAGTCAACCGCCCAAAATTAAAGAATAGAGGTGCCTATAAGAGTATTGGTAAAAATCAACATCGTTTTTGTAAAGTAAGAGGGACATTGGAAGATTGATTGTCCAAAGTTGAAGGACAAAGTTGAAGGACAAAGCCGGGAAGAATAAGGGAAAAGCTGTACAAACTTCAGAAGTGAATGTTGCAAAAGCTGTTGGTGAGCATTCAGATTCAGATTCTTCAGGTTATTCATGCACTGCACTACCGTCGGTTTGCTACCGACTCTACGGAGTGGATGTTGGATTCGGGAGCCATATATCATATTTTCCCAAGGAGGGACTGGTTCTCCAGCTTTGAGGAGCTGGAAAGAGAGGATGACGTGCTTATGGGTAATGACCACGTATGCCCTAATAGTGGTATTGGTTCAATCCAGATCAGGATGCATGACAGTGTAGTGAGGGAGTTGAATGAAGTGAGGTTCGTGCCGCAGCTGACGAAGAACATCATTTCTCTTGGTACTTTGGAGGCAGCTGATTATTAGGTGACCTTAGAGGATGCTACCGTGAAGGTCACGAAGGGTTCTATGGTGGTGATGCGATGAGTCATGGGAAACTCCCTATACTAATTGAAGGGCAAGACAGTTACAGAGGATCTGGCAACTTCTATCACTACAGAGGAGGACACTATTACTCTATGGCACATGAGACTAGGATACACAGGTGATAAGTCCCTGTAGTCATTGGCGAAATAGGAGCTTTTGAAAGGTGTTAAGACCTAGAAGATAGAGTTGTGTGAGCATTGTGTACTTGGAAAGAAGACTAGAGTGAAGTTTGGCACCGCTATTCATAACACCCAAGGTATATTGGATTACGTTCACACAGATGTTTAGGGCCCTTCCAAGAACACATCACTTGGTGGGGCCAACTATTTTGTCACTTTTATTGATGACTATTTCAGGAAGAATTGGGTATACACTATAAAGTATAAACATGAGATCCCGGATACTTTTATAGAGTGGAAGAAGAAAGTAGAGCTGTAGACAGGTAGAAAGGTGAAGACTCTACGTTCAGATAACGATGGAGAGTATAAGAGTGATCCGTTTTTGTAGTTTTGCCGGGATCACGGCATTAGGCGATACTTCACAGTTTGAGAGATGTCACAACAAAATGGGGTGGCTGAGAGATTAAACCGTACATTGCTAGAGAAGGTACTATGTATGATGACGCAGAGTGGATTACCTAGATCCTTTTGGACCGAGGCGTTGGTTTATGCGAGCTATCTCGTTAATAGGTTGTCATGCACTACGATACAGGGGAAGACTCCTTTAGAGCATTGGTCTGGTTCGGTAGCTAGTGACTATGAGTCGCTTCGGATATTTGAGTGTCCTGCTTATTATCATGTTAGTGATGGTAAATTGAATCCAAGGGCGCGGAAGGCAATCTTTGTGGGATTTAGAGATGGAGTTAAATGCTTTAAGTTATAGGATTCACAGGACAAGAAGATAGTTATTAGTAGGGATGTCACATTTGATGAGGCGTACATGATGAGGCCTCAAGTTCCTCTACAGGTGGAGGAAGATCAGATTCGAGAGATATCACAGCATGTAGAGGATGATGTGAATCCACTCACTCCAGATAGCATTGTATCCATTGAGACTCCTACAGAGGTGACACTAGGAGAAAATAAGATGACAACCGGGCAGATAGAAGATACAGTGGATTATGAGACTCACGAGCAGGGTCGTGTTCAGGAGTCTATTGTAGCGAATAAACCTAGAAGGGTGATTCGTCGACCAGCTAGGTATAATGATATTATGGTCGCATATGCATTATCAGTGAAGGTCATTGATGATATGGTTCCATCCACATTCAGGGAGGCAGAGTCTAGCCCCGATTTGATCAGGTGGAGGAAAGCTATGGAGGAGGAGATGCGATCTTTTCAGAAGAACGACACTTAGGAACTTACAAGGCTACCTAAGGGGAAGAAAGCTATTTGTTGTAAGGAAATTAGGTACAAAGCCAGATTAGTTGCTAAGGGATATGCACAGCTTGAGGGTATTGATTACAACGAGATATTTTCACCCGTTATGAAACATTCGTCGATTCGGATTTTATTGGTATTGATGGCACAGCTGGATTTAGATTTAATCCAGATGGATGTTAAGATAGCATTTCTACACGAAGATTTAGATGAGGAGATCTACATGACACAACCTTTGAGATTCAAAGCTGTATGAAAGGAAGATTTGGTTTGCAAGTTGAAGAAGTCTCTTTATGGAATGAAGCAATCACCGCGACAGTGGTACAAGAGATTCTACAGCTTCATGATTGGCCATGGGTACACGAGGAGCCCATATGACCT